TTTTTTTAATTAAATGCCTTTTGTATGTCATCAATCTGTATGTTTCCCTCTTATCTTTCACAGCTAGTAAAGTGAGAGGGAAGGTTGCTTCTATACCATTTGAACAGTTCCACAAGCATTCAGCTGATATTATAACTGCTGCTGTGTTTGGTAAGAATGCTGATGGAGAAGTTAATAAAGAAGTGATATTTACTGCCAATAACCTGGTGAGTAGTTACTTGTGTTATCAACCATGGAAGGAATAGTAATGGTAGCATAAGCAACATTATTCATGGTGTAGGGCTAGGAAGCTGTCTCAGTTCATTGTATGTACACAATACAATGAGCTCCTATAGAGTAGTATAACACATTCTTGTGCAGCACATGATTTTCAATCACACACTTGTAGTTTTTAAAAGCAAGGGAATTTGCCTTACTAATCACTTACTGCATTGCTTCATTACCTTAGCCCTACAACAGCTTTACAACACTACTTACATTACTTACTTACATTGCATTACTTACATTACTTACTTACATTACATTACATTACTTACTTCATTACCTACATGTGCATGTACATGTAGGTGGTACTGGATCTTGAAGACATTGCTTTATCCATGCACGTTTGTATCACTTTTGAAAATTTAGCTAGCTTCTATGATGTCTTCATCCATTTTGTCAAGTTGACATTTAAATTAATTGACTAACTTAATATGAGGATCATGTCAAGGCATTCCTCTTTAATTTTATAGTGTATCCCTCTTGGCCTGCAAATTTAATCAGTGTATATAATTGTATTGTGTGTAGGTGATCACTAATATTGATATTCAAAGTATTGAACCAATTGATCATCATATGAGGGACTCTCTATCTAAATCTGTTCAAATGGCAATTGAGATATCTACCAAGTGAGTCGATAATTCATCTGCTGATCATTTATAGTATTGTAATATTATCTTATAATTCTTATCTATTGTGGTTGTCATCTTTACCTTGGTTTGTGGTCACACATCCTGAATAATGATATAATGATTATTGTACATTTAAGTTATTGTGTTCACATTACTCATGAGACCATTACACAAAATGTTGACCATTTACAAACACTACATTCTTATGTACATTTCTTATTAATAATATTCACTTGCCTGATTCTGTCTTTCATTATTGGATACATTTGCTTGTTATAATGTTACTAATGGACAGGTCAATAGAGAGGTCAGCACAGCATGAGGCACAGAGAACTGAACAAAAAGCAAAAGGAGAACTAGAGAGACAAAAACTACAAAATGAAAAGGTAATTAATATTATGAACATCGCAAAGAATAATGAAAGTATATTAATATGTACCACTTTAGTTTATTCTCATTAGAGTACACATGCACATGTCTACAACATTTTCTTGCATTCCCTTTTGATATTTTCTGTTGGTGTTTATAAACATTAGCAGACAAACAGAGCACAGTATAATCTTCAAATTCATTATTATTGATAGGAGGCAGAGGAGGCAAGGAAGGAGTTGTTAGAGTTACAAGCAGTAGCAGCTGCTGTTGAGAGCACTGGACAAGCTAAAGCAGAAGCACAAGTAATCACAGTGTAATAATAAGATAAGATTAGATAATAACATAATAACATGTATAAAATATTAATGACATGCAATGATGAGATTGTATGATATATCAAGTTATCAACCACTGTTTGGTAGTATAACTTCACTATGAAGGATTGAATGTAAGGGGAACTTCCTTTCTTCCAGACGATAGACTTTGCTCATTTAGAGGCTGGACTCATACCACCACCTTTCATACCCAATGTAAGACCCAGTGCTATTGTAACACACTGTATATTATATAGAAATTATCCATTACATGTACATGTATACATGTAATGGATGTTTTGTAATGGATGTTACACGTAATGTTTTGTTTGTCACTTGAGGCCGTTTGTGATGTAGCCATGTACATGTATATGCTGTAATCTTGTTGAATGTATGAGTATAAATTATTTAACTTTATATTCAAAAAATAGAAATAAGTTTGTTGTTTTTAGCAGTTAAAGACTTGCAAGTTTAATTAGTTTATGTCACATATTTTTGAGATATTTTTTGCAAAATTTAGTACATAATACATGTACATATGCAGTGCATAGTTTTAGTATTAATCCTAATTATTATAATAAGATTAATTAAATGATTATTGTTCTTATCCTAATCCCTCAGTCCAGAGCAGTCTATGCTAAAGATGTGTTAGATATTGACCAGTTCTCTTCAGTCAGAGGAGTAGAGATTGAGAAAGCTGACGAGGACTTTGCTGACAAGTTTGCAACCGGAATAGTACCCAAACCGTGGCAGGAGGAGGTTAGCAGTGAATCCTGTATATTAGTAAATGATACACTGTATGAGCTTTTTAATTTTGGCTAAATAGATGTACATTGTACTATAGCCGATGGTTTTTTCCAAAAAATGGCTCCGAAATCACCCCAAATTTTTATTACATTTTCTGATACATATTGATGTCCTTATGCTGTGTAGCAAGTTTGAGCTGATTCCGACTTTAATTTTTCAAGTTACGGCCATTTTAAGAAAACGTCAAAATTCTGAAAAATACCCAAGGCTATAGCCCATGGTTTTTTCCAAAAAATGGCTCCGAAATCACCCCAAATTTTTATTACATTTTCTGATACATATTGATGTCCTTATGCTGTGTAGCAAGTTTGAGCTGATTCCGACTTTAATTTTTCAAGTTACGGCCGTTTTAATAAAATGTCACAATTCTGAAAATTACCCAAGGCTATAGCCCATGGTTTTTTTCAAAAAATGGCTCCGAAATCACATCAAATTTTTATTACATTTTCTGATACATAATGATGTTCTTATGCTGTTTAGCAAGTTTGAGCTGATTCAGACTTCAATTTTTAAAGTTACGGCCATTTTAATAAAACGTCAAAATTTTGAAAAATACCCAAGGCTATAGCCCATGGTTTTTCCCAAAAAATGGCTAAAAAATTACGCCAAATTTTTATTACATTTTCTGATACATATTAATGTCCTTATGCTGTGTAGCAAGTTTGAGGTGATTCCGACTTTAATTTTTCAAGTTATGGTCATTTTAAGAAAATGTCAAAATTCTGAAAAATACCCAAGGCTATAGCCCATGGTTTTTTCCAAAAAATGGCTCCAAAATCACATCAAATTTTTATTACATTTTTTGATACATAATGATGTTCTTATGCTGTGTAGCAAGTTTGAGGTGATTCCAACTTCAATTTTTAAAGTTACGGTCATTTTAAGAAAACGTCAAAATTCTGAAAATAGCCCATGGTTTTTTCCAAAAAATGGCTCCAAAATCACATCAAATTTTTATTACATTTTCTGATACATAATGATGTTCTTATGCTGTGTAGCAAGTTTGAGCTGATTCCGACTTCAATTTTTAAAGTTACGGTCATTTTAAGAAAACGTCAAAATTCTATAGCCCATGGTTTTATTACATTTTTCAATACATCATCATATATTTTACTTTTACCTGTACGTGTTGCTTTATTTTCTTATTATCTTTCCCTTCAGATGCTAGAGACTAACGTGTTTGACGACGTCAATAAACTCTCTCCACTTGAAGCCCAGCGCTCCAAGTCCCTTGACATGGTCCTGGAGGAGGAAGAACAGGAATCCATTAGACAAAGAACAGCCTCCAATTCTTTCTTTGGGAAGTTCTTCAGACCTAAGAGACAAGTAACGATTGATATACCTTGATAGACACAGACATCAGTTATAACGTAGACTCCATTAGCAGCTGTCCTGCTGGATATTAATACAACACTGGCACTCACCTACCACTACTAATGCACCTGACACCACTTCACCTACTCAACAGACACTAATTCGTATTATTATAATTAATTCGTAAATTGTTTTTGATAATTAGTTCCCTTGTACCTGTGTCCTCTTGTCTAGCCGTATCTTTTTCTCTTTTCCCCTATAGCTTAGTACCCC